TTCCGCGACTTCGTGAAGAAGAATTTAAGAATCCATAATGTAGGCAAAAAGCAACATTATGAGCCCGCGACATCGATACTTTATTTACGACAGAGGCCAATTTAACAATCTTATTTACATAATCTATTTTTAACAAAGATTTTATCATTAAAAACAAATTTAGAACTAATTAATTATTATATTATGATCCTATACGTAACCTTCTAATTTTTGAATGATAATAATTAATAGTATTATGATTATAATAATAAATACATTTATACAATTTTTAAAGTCCTTGACCTCTAGACAAAATTTTATTACTCTTTAGATAAATATTGATAGCTACAGTTGGTATGGGAAGCTGTAATTGTTCAAAAATTTCGATCGTCATTCTTATAGTAAAACTGAAAATAAATGGAACTAATTGCTACACATTAAAGATTATATACCAAAACTAAGCAAAGCGACCGTTACCCATAGACATGCGCATTGGCAGATGCGTTGCCTACTTTTATTAGGCAGATGAGACGCGCAGAAAGAGGATATTTCCAATCCCTATGCGTCGCCTCATCAGTTGAATCCGGGTCTCTTTATCTCATTCCTTCATAAGAAAAGAGGGAGCAGGGGAAAGCTAAAATTTGACCTTTGATATGATAACTCGTTAGACTAAAAGCGCTATGACTTCGGCGTCTCACCCGTCTATCAGTGGGGTCGTGATATTTCACCGTTCGAGTCGGAGCATTCGTGTAATAGATGTTGTTGCGGACTCTACCACTATTAAAATTAATTTCTATTGTGTATTTCTACATAATAGTAATATTCTATTTATACGATTATCCACTTCACACGTTACACACACTCTACAAAGCCAGAGAGTGTAAAATTTTATGCTTTATATACTCTGTTGCTCCAATGTAATCTTCAGAGCTTTGGATTAAAAGCTTCATTACAAAGCCTAAACACTTTAACACTCAATAGCGTAATACTTTTTTCTGCGATCAATTAGTTGCATTGCCTCGGCAACAGGGAGGTCAGCACGATTCTAATTACTGGATATTGCTTTATTTCTTTTTACTGACAGGCGCAAGTGTGTCTATAGACACCATTACACTATCTACCCATTGCTACGCTGCAGACAAGATGTTATGAAGCTACTCCATTTTTAAATAATTAACACATATCAAGATAATTGTTATAGTTCTTTAGATTCTTATCTTTAAGAATAAAATAATTGATTTAAAAGTTCTTTGTGTTCAGCTTGAATATGTTTACAAATGCATATTTAAAGAAATATATGTATGTTGATACGAGGATGGTAAGCGAGACAACAATATTTCTGGTACAATGATGATTGATGTTTTCTTACAACATCCTTTTCCTTTTCGTGCAACGTGTAGGTATAAGTGTGAATCAATCCATGGCGATAATGTAGGTATTAAAATTTATTATTTATGTAGCTGTCCCCCGCGACTGCGACTGCGCGGAGTTAAAAAAACGTAATTAGTAGCCTAAGTGTTTTTCCAGACTATGTTCTATATGTATGCCAAATTACATCGGGACGTAGAGTCGTTTTAGCGATAAGTTCATACAAACATCCATACATCCATCAAAACATTCGCAATAATAATATGAAGAAAGGTAGTAAGAAGTAAGATTGCTTGCCTTGTGTCTCTCAATTGGCGCCCGAAATACAGTAGCAGCATAATTTACAATCTTTAACATGTGCGTGGCTTTATCAGATTATCCAGCCCTTAGTGGTGTAACTTTTTAATAATTTTCGTTTCAAAAACGAACATTTTATAATGCAAACATTATCTTGTTAAAGACTTTAGAATATTGAATTTCGCACCTCGGCTGAGCACAATGCTTTCACCATTTTTAAAAATGGTTATGAAATATAATTCTGCCAATATAAAATAAATAAGCGCATCGTGTTACCGGATAGCGTATCTTCAAAAATAGTAAAAGTCAAAGATATCAATTCGTGCTGCTCCGAACTTCTGGTCTTACGTAAAACCTCAATATTTTACCATCAAATTCCCTTCCTTTAGCTATTTGTTAGAAAATACCTTTCGTAAAAAGTACCCTAACCGATTCGATAAACAGATCATGGTTACTAAGCAGACTATTATTAATATTGCTAATATTATAAATGCGAATGTTTAGACGGATAGATGGATGGATGTTTGTTTTAAGGTATATGCAGAACCGCAGGGATCTCGACGAAATTTAATATGAATATAGAAGACAGTCCGGTAGAACACATAGGATACTAATTAAGTTTTTTTATTCCGCACAGACGGATGCGCGGGCGACAGTTTGTCTTATAATATATTTAAATCCAATAAAGTATCATCTATGTCATGATCCTATTTAAACAAAGACTGATGCCTTGTGATGTTTAACGGTTTTCATTATTCGTTTAAAATTCGTATCGCGTTAAACTGAATTTGGAATTTACGTATTTTACGGCAATTCCGCCTTTACATGAATATAAACTTCACACTGATGAAGTCAGCGCCAATCTTGATATGAAGGAACTGATACAAATGGTTAACTACGTGACATATATTTCTGTCACCAAGCCATAAACCAACATTAGATCGTTGTAAATTCCTACGTGAATACATTGATTTGACTAGAAGCATGATGAATCTTAAAGAGATTTAGCTAAAACATACCTATGTTATCTTAATATTGTTTCCTATTTTTCTCACAATACGTATTAATACATCATTCTACAATCATTGTCTTCTTAGTTTTCTTTTCCTAATTCTCTCTTATTATTTAGTAACTGTAATTTTCGTGGGTGGCAGTAGTTTGATATAAAAATATCAATATGATGTTATTGTTTCTATGTAACAAGAACGATTCCAACATTTCGATCAATTACCAAAATAGGACATCCAAATTGTTATTATATTTTAAACTAACCTATTGCGTTAACAAATTCAAGCGTGCACAATATCGATATAAAGATATTGCCATTTTCAAGCTTTATAACTCACGGATCATAACAGAATCCAAATTGCCGGTGTCTGTTGTTTTCACCGGAGCTTCCCACGGTTAGGAGCACGCAACCACAAGCTCCAATTATATCGTACTAATTTCTGAGTACGCTCGCGCCTGAATCTTACGCTGGAACGGTGGGAAGCCAGTCCGAATAGAAGCTTCGTGGAATTGTTGCACGCGCGGACACAATCATTAACTGATCCATTGCACACAAGAACATTTAACTAAAAATAGACTGGTCTTTTCGAACCAAATCATACTTAAACAAAGTTTTGTATGATTTGGTTGTGAATGATAGTGCTATTTATTATGCATAAATACTTGAAGAAACTGTTGGTTATGTCCGCTCTATTAAGTATTATATTTGAAACTCTTTTTCACAATATTCATCTATGTGGTGTAACATAATATGAATCAATGATTAGTCAACTAATATTTTCCTGACTGAAGAGGGTAATTATTTTTGACCAGCATTAGTTATGGCTTAGTTGATTTTGAATGTGTCATAGGGTTTCCAGTCTGTAGGGCTAATTATTTTTTTAATATCTTTATATATATAATTCGTCTGTGAGTGTGTATGTCACTGAACTTCTCTCAAACGACTGGACCGAATTTGATGAAATTTTTTGTGTGTGTATAAGAGGATCTGGGAATGGTTTAGATTCACAATTTTGTCCGCTGGACAATGTTTTTTTAATTAATTTTTAATTTATTAGTAGTTGTTGATTTTGGAATGTTTTACATTGGATCCGACAGACGGCGCTACCATCGCAGTGTCAAATTGTCAGACAACGTCTGTCGAGTCCGCTAGTTAATTATAATTTATTCATTCTTCTTCTTAAGTAGATTCACTTAAATGAAGACACAAGAATTCAACTCAGTTAATTTCAAGATGAATTGATGATTGAATTTGAAGTAAAGGTTTATAATTTGTTGGGGAAAACCTAATAACTGCTTTCTTTAGGCAATTATTTAATCCTATAACATAGTTTGTAGGGCAGTAATACACCTCCCGTTAGCATCGACAGTTTTTACTTGGGTGGATGGACATTTTTTTTCATTACGTTGAAGTGTTGCAGTTTGTTGTTCTAAATAGCGTTTGGTACAAAATCAAGCAGTTTGTTTTATTTAATTTAATTCGTAAATTTATGGATAGTGACAAGGAAAAGGGCTTCTGTCTATATCCCTTTAAAGATATAATTTAATGAATATTTGCTTCTACTACTATACGATAATAAGTTCATTCGTAAATACACATATACAATACTAATGGATTTGTAAAATATTTTGTTATATATGTTTTTCCTAAAGACGTTAAATATAAATTAAAATTGGACATAAGAATTTAATTTCAATGAGATTTTATGTTTTAAAATAATCTTTTAGAAGTTCTAATTTTAAATTTGTATATGTCCGATGAATTAGATTTTGAGTATGGAAATACAATAAAAAAAGATTATTATAAAAAGTATCGCGCGAATCGGATTAGGATACATATTATATTAGAATTTAGAAAGAGTGAATAAATGAGGTAACTTATATGTTAAACATATATGTCCCCATTAGTATGTTCTATAATTACGCATATTTATATACTAAAAGAATATTATGATATGCATTTGAATATCTTGTTTTTCTGCCAAAGCTTTTAAAGAGACATCTCTAAATTTGTTTAATCTTTTTAAATATCTTCTATTTTAAATCCTTTTGAGATCATCGTATTTTATAGCGAACTTGTTTATTTATTGCTTTTATTAAATTTGTGTGAAGAATCTGGGGTATGACATTAAACAAAGTCTATCGAGTTACAACACATTTTTATTATTCTTTTGGGTATAAACTTAATAACTAACCTAAGTTCTTAGTTTTGAGCTTATTTATTTAACCGAGCTATATATTATATCACAGATTAACTTAAACGCTACGGTACTTTATAAGTGTTAAACAAAAGATAAGCGGACGCCGACGCGGAAGACGTTAAAGTCAGGTATACAATAACAAGAGACTTTAAAACAAAAAACCTTATTTTATTAAATTAAAAACAAAACTTCAACAAGCAAAGCGAACGAATCACAATTCGTTTTTCAACACACATCGGTTCTAGGAACGTTAACTGGGTCAAACATAACTCTATATCACACATCCGGTCACACAGTCCTGGAAGTATAGGTTGCGAGATCAGGGACACGTTGGCATCGTCTCAGCGGCGGTCACCAGGGTCGCCACATCGATTGGGCGGGGTCGGGCTCGGAGGCGGGGCTGTGCGGCGGCGAGGGCGGCGCGTACGCCCGCTTTGAGCTCACCTCTTCGCCGCCCTGCCCGATCACGTCTGCTGGCCTCTTCATGCCTCGCTCATGCGGACCCATAGCCAAGGTTTGCTGCGGATGCGGGCCCGGTATTGCCTGCAAGGGCGTGGGCCTCGCAACCCCGCCGGGTGCGATCGGCTGCGGCTGCACTACCTGAGGACTTTCAAGCCTTCGTATGCAGTTGCTGAGGTGCTGCAGGAGTCTCGCACCCGCCTGAGGGTCCACTGGACCCTGTCTTTGCATCGCGTTGGCAGCGAGGGTGGCGTTTGCAATAAATTGGGACACTTCAGTCGCACACTGTGTGAAGCCAGCACGAAATCGCTCCGCATACGACATTTCATGTTTCAACACTAGTTGCCCTCTCCTCTTAAGGCTATGAAGATGTCGCACTGTCAGCTCGAGGATGTCTGCCTTCTCTAGTTTGGAGACGTTTTCGCCTTCCGCCTGCAGGGCTGTGACCATTAGATCTTTGAGTTCGTCGAGGCAGCGGTTGATGCGGGCGCGTCGCTTTCTTTCCAGCATAGGTTTCATGACCTTCCTGTACTGGTAGGTCCGGGACACGGGCTCTTCGTCGTGAGGCGGCGCGGTGTATACGCCGTGTGGCGGGGACATGGCTCTCGTGGGTAGGATCATGAGTGCGGCGCGCGCGGCGGTCAGAGTACGAGTGAGGCGCGCGCCGACGCACCGCTGCTTTTATGCGCCCTACACCGATTGTGGCAAAACGCCCGTGATAAAAATAGGGGTGGCAATTCAAAGAACGTTCATTCTGGTTTTAAAATAAATTATTACTTACTATTAAGAAGATTAAGTTAGTAATTTTTTCTACTTTGTAAAAAGTGAATATTTGTTACAAATAAAGAAGTATCAATTTTATATTACATACTATAGAAATACATGTAAATGATATAGAATACCTATTTTATGTTGTATAATAATTTAGTAAAACAAAACAAATGGTTAGACAGATTTTTTACAAAGTGCTAAAATCGTCCTTTAATATGTAAGCTTACTATGTGCATTAAATAATTTAAAATAATCTGATTAACACTTAAATATTAAATGACATAAACTATTGTCTTTTTTATTTTTCCATATTATTATTAAAACTATTAAAAATAGCGTCTTTTCTATACATGAGCAGCTGTTTGCCCAGACATCTAGGGAGTCAGCTGATGGCACCTGGGCCGCACGCGTTCTCACGCGCAACGCACCCTCCGCGCCCTTTGCGTCTTACAGACAGACACGCAACCAAGCTTCCCCAATACTCGTAGACATTTATAACAGCTGTCAATGTAAAGGTTTTTAAATTGCTTAAATGTAATAAAAGTATTTAACGCATTTTGCTATAGATAATATCCATTTTGTATTTTTTAAAATCTATGTTAAATAAACGTATTAATAATAAGTAGGTACTACGTACCGCATGACTATATTATTAAGTTTTTTTTACAACAAAAATGATGATTTGATTCATGACAGTACTGTTTCCTTTAAAGGGAAATAAATATTGATTTAAATAATTTTCATAATGTGACAGCCCTGATGTCAAAGCTGCGGCGGCGGCGGAGTTCGCGCGGTGCGTTATCGCCTTCGTCGCACACCAACTGACGGACCGATGCATAGAAATTATACACTTTTTTTCAAGTAATTTTTAAATTATTAGCGGCCTAGATAAAAATGTGTGCAATTATTATAGACGATATTGCTAAACGATTGGAATGTGCAATTAATATTACAACGTAATAGAACCTCTTTTTTCGAATGCTACTCGTGCTCGTTTTATAATCGTGTTGTTATGTCGATTCGAGGAAACGTAAGATATGTAAACATTGTTTTAATTAGTCATCCGAAAACAATCGTGGAGGTGTGAGCGATGAGCATTCCCAGCACCGCTAGTCGGCACTCGGCGCTCGTCGACCTATTGTGCGGTCGGGGCCTACATGACGCTACTTACTCTAATTCTGTCTCACGCGCCCAGACACCGAAACGTCTTAAGTGTCGACACGCGTCTTTGTTACGAACGGAAAGTACCGCTTCTCGCGACCCACTCGACGCTTACGGCTTTTTAATAATAAGGCTGTATCGGAGCGTTGTAACGGAAGGTCGTAAGCGACGCTCCGCTGGGTGGCGTTCGAGACATTCCTCTGTTGAAGTCGGCATCGTGGGAAAGGCCGTTTCGCTCGTGTTCCCACACACTCCGCCGGCACAAGCCAACCGATAAATTATCATAATACCATTGTGAGTGAGACGATACCAAGAAATTTTATACTTCATCAATCGCTGCGTTGAATACATTAGGCGCGTGGTAGCGTTTTGTCGGGGACGTCAGCGCGCGGTCAGCCAGTTCCAAACAACCCCATCCAACTTCTTATTCATTATATAACGTATTGATTGTTATCTATTTAATTAAAAATTTAGATTTACATTTTTAAAGGCCAATATAATCGTCTTGCGTGTGTTTTTCAAATTGATATCTTAGTCTTTAGTCTAAACGCAGCAAGTCTTGGGTGGTCCTGATTATGAACAACCATGTACATATATTCTACTCCTCTCAGAAAGATCTTTTCATCAGAGATGATTTTTACTTGTGAAAATAAAGTATTTAGTTCATATTTAAACTTTTGATAAAAAGTTACAGTAGCGAAGTATCGCTTAATGATACGTAACTACTTCTGTTTATAAAAGAAATGGTTATTTAATTATTACCGATATAAATATCTTCATTATCTACAATTCTCAAATTATCACTTTTAACCAATAAGGGTTTGAAGATTCTGATAATACAGGAAAATATCACGAGTTGTCTTCATCTTTGATTGAATATATTTACAACAAGTCGTCATAAGAGCGTCGGTGGCTCAGGGGTCAAGTACACTTGACTTGCAATTTGCAGGTCCTGGGTTCGAATCCCGCCATGTACCAATGTGTTTTTCGATTTCCGATTTACATATGTACATTTTTCCGACGTTCTTACGGTGAAGGAAACATCGTGATGCGACCTGCACATATCTGAGAAGAAATTCAAAGATATGTGTGAAGTCAACCAACTCGCATTGGGCTAGCGTGATTGACTATAGCATAATCACCCTTAACTTAGGGTAGGATCTGAGCCCCTCTGTGGGGACGTATAGTGAGCTGATGATGATAATGACAAGTCGTGGTATTTTTACTAAACTCTTTCCATTATGCCTTCTGTGTTTTAACGCTGTAAAATCATCAAGAGATTGCATTTTAAATGAACCAGAAAGTTTTTGAAGATAATAAGAGGGATAACGATATGTTTGAAACGGCGATTTTGGCCAGAAACCAATGATGGGTGATCAGTTTTATTACCATCAAATCAATTCAAGGAGTTATGACCAATTTTGTCTAAACGTTGAACCACGTGGCATAACTCTATAGCAATAAATTATATTAATAAAAATAATATTCCACTTGATTTTATATTAATATATTATTATAATTTTGCGAAGGCTATGTGTCATATAAATTAAAAAAAAAGCCTTACCGGTTAGATTTTACATACATTAAGTAAGCCGATTTTATCCATCAGTTTAGGCAATAAATTATTACTCTTTATGGATGCATATTTATTTTTTAATTGAATAATTTTGTTCTGCCTATCTTAGACCGGTCAAGATAAACGAAAATAAGAGTTGAAGCTACAATAATTCGCATAACGCTAAAAATTGTTAAAAATGTTCAGAAAACCATATGTGAACCCAAAAATTATGTATGTGACCATTTTAGTTCTCGATGAGTTCAACAAAAAAAGTCAGCGATGACATATCTTCGACTGTTTTGTGTTATAACCACTTTTTGCTTTAGAAAAGGCAATTAAAAATCGTATGTTATTTGGTACTATTTTTTCGGTTTTATTGTTCCATGTCCAAATTAATGTAGTCGTTATCAGGGAAAATTTATGTAGATAAAAATTGCCTTTCACAGTATACATTTGTGACGAATAGCTTTTGGCACCCGGGCGAAGTTAGGCAGGCCGCTAGTTTGTCTGTTACAAGCAACTTTTGTTGCTAGCATTTATAATTATAGTCATAAACTATAGTGATTTATAAATGTAAATTTGAATATTTTATTCTGTTATTTAAAAGAACGTAACGCGGCAACTATTCGATATAATAATCAATGTGTTAAATTATCATTTTCTAATAATAAAGTAGCGAAACAAAGAGGTCATCGTCCTCTTACGCCCTAGACGCGAGAAATGATTAAATAACATAACCCTTAACATTTCATCAGGTTCGATCCCCGCAATGTACCAATGTGTTTTTGACTTTAAGATTTTCATGTGTACATTTAGTCGATGTTCTTATAGTGAAGGTAAACATCATGCAACTTGCACATATCAGCGAAGGCGTTCAAAGATATGCGAAGTCATCTCGCACTGGAACTGCATGGTTGACAATATGGCCCCAGTTATCCCAAAATTGTTTAGGTTTTGACTCCACGGGTGGAGACGTATAATGGGGCTAACGAGGATCACGAATATTATAATTACGAAAGCAAATCCAGAACTGCTGACCAGATCTAAACACAATTTCGTACAGAATATAGTCGGGAATAGCGTATAGTAGGGGTGACGAAACTTTACATATCGACGTGCCATTTTTCTAAAGTAATTTGTATTGAGGGCATTGTCGTGCTATGAAATAATTTTGAATCAGTAATTATTGAGATTATTCTGTAGCGAAAGGCTCACGTGTGTTCGCTCTTCATTAAATACTTACATCACAAATGTTTTTGTAAAAATATAACGAATTTTGTGATCAGTGACTTGCCTAAAGTTTTGTGTCGCGTGCTATAAGTTTGACATCCCTGGCTTAATATTTTTTTTTCTATTTCACCCGCATGATATACTGGTACCTGTTAATATTTTTAGAAAAATTCATAGCAATAATATGTAAGATATAGTATTTTTTAATATATGTTTATTCGGAATACATATTAATTGTGTTAAAATACCAGTCGGGGAAATCTTGTGATAAACAAATAATAATACAGATTACAAATTAAAAGACTTCTTAATATTATGCGCTTTATTAATATTCATCGAACAAAGTGCTTATGATTGTTTCCAACAATAAGATTTATAATAAAAACTTTGCGAAGACTCGAATAGAAACAAGATAATAGTCCACATGGTAATAAAGTCCTCGTTAAATAAGATGCTAATTAACAACAAAGAGTTTATAAAAATTCAAAGTGATATCACGATTAAATGAAATGCAGTTTTTATTCTAGATTTTTATGTGCTATCTTTAGATAGTATAAGTTGGAGAGACATCACTGTTAACATAATAAGTAAATAAGATATTAGCCTGTGATGATTAGACAATTTTTGAAATTTGACAATTTGACAGTCTGTTTTTTGACAACTTTTTTTTTATGTGTTGCCAACTTCTTGCACTTATTAATTAGTTATGTGCTCAATGTGTCGCTTCCGGGAAAACGCGAAAAAATCTTGTGTTTCTTAAAGTTACTATGAAAAATTGTAAAAGTTCTCATATAAAAAGTAATAATACTTATCAAGCATGTATAAATATTATACTTATACTTACTTCGCTGGCGCCACAAGAGATCGCCAATGTCGCGTGTCCTGCGCCTTCTCCTGCCAGTCCATCGCTTGTAGTTCCCGCAAGTCCAGCTCTACGTCCGTCA